ATCACCCCGGCGACGTCATGCACGGGAACGCGGCGGTCAGCACGCACAGCAGCTCGCCCCGAATCAGGCAGGCCCAAGTCACGTGGCCCATCAGGACCTCCAGCATCTTGCTCGAACATCGGCCGCGGAGCAGCGCCGTGTCCAGCGCTGCCGTGAGCCGCCACGGGTTGCGTCGCTGGATCGACAGCCGACGGCCCTGCCTGAACTCGTGCCCCACCAAGATGGCATCGGTGGAGGCCTCTAACTCCTCGTGGACCGTCAGCCCCCAGCCCCGCAGCACGGCGGACACTCCATCGCGACATCGCGCGACCATCGCCGGGCCGTGGCCACGCTCGCGCGGCCGTCCTCGACGATCTGGGAGTCCGAGAAACCCGCCACCGCTATCGCCCGCACGGTGACAGCCTGGCAGAAATGCATCGCCCACGACCACCCCATGGGCAGGATGGCGAGGCACGGGGCCAGGCTCGCGCCGGCGGGGATGGGCCTGCCGCCCAGCTCGGCGACGCCAGCAAGGATGGACGTCAGCGTCGGCAGGGCGAGGTAGTCCTCCAGGCCCGACATGGACCGCAGGCGGTAGAAGTCATCATCCAGGCCCCTGCTCGCCACGCACAGCGGCACGCCGCCCGACTCTACAGCCGAGACCGCGGCCGCCCGTCGGCGAGCGAGCGGGAGGCGCCGGGTGAAAGATGGCGCTCGCGCAGCGCGCGTCGAAGACGAGGCGCTACTTCCCAGACATCCCCCAAACGAAAAAGACACCAATCATGTGCTTTGAAGTGGGGACCACCTTGAAACGCAGCACCCCGCACTGATGAAGCCGCCGAACAAACTCGCCGTGCAAAACCGGGTCCCGAGCCAACCGAGAGTCGACGAAGGGTCCGCGAGGGCATGAATGTCGGGCCCCGAACAGCGCCTCGTCGGGCGCCTCGAGCAAGGTATCCTGGGCGAGGCAGCCCAGGTCGGTCGGGCAGGGCCCCGCCCCGGGCCAGGAGACCAGCCCCTTGGGGTACGGGACCCGGGCACCGTCGTCGTCGGAGTAGACGGTGGGGCCGCTGAGAAGCTCGCGAAGGGCTTCTTCGCAAAAACCTTGGTCGCTCGGCATCGCGCCCATGCCGAGGTAGCAGTCCTCTGAAAACTCGATGCTGGCCCGCTGCCCCTGGTTGTCCGGCGCCGAAGGAGGTTCGCCAGAGTGGCCGCGCAGGCTGTTGAGCGCGTCTATCCCATCGTCGGCCCAGTCCAGAAGCACATCAGCACGGCGACGCCGCTGGCGCACTGCTCGGCAGGAGCGGCGGTCGGCCACGCGCACAGCAAGGCGAACCACGCGAGGCAATGGGAAAATATCCGGGCGACGAGGGTCGCCAGCGGCGGCAGGGTCGCCGCGACAAAAAAGCCTGGAGCTCGAGCTTCGCCGCAGCGGGTAGCCCCACGTCCCGCTGCGCGCTCCCGTTCACCCCTTTGTCTCGTCCTTATCCTTGTCCTTGCCGCCCTTCTTGTCCTTGTTGTTGGGGGCCCGGATGTTCTGGTGCTCTTCGCGCGCCTTGCGCCTCTCCTTTGCCACCGCATACTCTTCGGTGAGCTCGCCGCTGACGCAGGCCAGGAGCTGGGGATGCACGCACACGTTGCCTCGGTTGGCCGAGGTGCCGTAGAAGGTGGGAGTCCAGCGACTCGTCGGCGTTCGTGATGAACCTCTCCCGCCACCTCTCCTCCTGTACTTGGATGCTGCGGCACACCATATCCGCCGCCACGACGTCTGGGACGTTGAACTGGTCGAAGCAGACCATCTTCTCCAGGTAGAAGCAGTGCCGCTCGTGCTCCGCGACGCCCGCGTCGGTCCGAGCGAGGCGGCCCTCCGAGCGCCACTTGCCGTGCTGTGGCGTCCGAGGGGGGAGAGACCGTTGTCCTTGATGAACTGGCACACACACACACAAACACACACACACACACGCACACACACACACACACACACACACACACACACGCACACACACACACACACACACACACACTACGTGGTGCGGGGCCTGCTATGGGCCAGTCAGGCCACTGGTGCTCCACCAGGCGCGTCACCGCCTCCCCGAAGCCGACCTCCCTGGAGCCCAACGGGTTGCACAGCACTGGCTGCACGCGCGAGTCCGCCACAAGGCCCAATGGGGCAGCAGCCGCAGGCGCCGCAGGCAGCGGCGCGGCGGGGGCGGGCGCGGGCGCGGGCGCGCGCGCTGGGGCCGCAGCCAGCGCGCCGCCAGGCGGGGCCGGCGCGGCAGGCGGCAGGAGCACGGGGGCCCCGGGCGCCAGCGCAGGGCCGCCGAGCGCCGCCACCAGCCCAGCCGCGCCCGCCGCCGGCGCAGCCGCAACGCCTGCCGCGGGAGGCACAAGCCCGCCAGGAGCTGCTGCAGGCGCAACCGCCAGCGCCCTGCCAGCCGCTCTCGGCACGATGGGACCAGCGGGGGCAGGGAGGCTGAGTCGGCCGGCCGCAGCCGCAGCAGCCGCCAGCAGCGCGGCCGGC